GACTGCAAAGCCATTTGTACTGCAAGGTTGGCAGTTCAAGCTCACCAGCGGCACCCCGGAAACCCTATACAGGGTCGCTATGGGTTGGAACGGACTTGATGGCACTTAACAACAACATATATATAAAAGAATATTAAATAGAAATAGCCAATGGCTTAATCTGCATTTTTCAAAGAGAGATTACATTAAAGGGGAAAAAAACCTATTCTTTCTACTTTATTGAATATCATATTCTTTTGAGGATTCTGACTGCGAGGAAAAAAAGCCAAATTTTTAGAAGCTTGGTAAAAATAATTTAATTTTTTTTGTTAATTACTAAAGGGACTATATTTAGAGTAAAACAGACAAATACATCAAGAAAAGTTTCTCTATCTAATTATTCAATAATAATTCATATATGAAAATATTACCTACTTGCTTTCTTATAGCTAATTTTAACTATGTACCAGTCCAATGTGTCAAAATATAGAAAATATAAAGAATGGGTTATTCAAAAATTCTACTAAGAAACTCACTTTTAAGTCCTCCCAACATTGTCTTCCTTTGCATTAAAATTGGTGTTGTTAAGTACCGAAGAGTCGGTTCCGACCCATAGCGACCCTGTATAGGGTTTCCGAGGAGCGACTGGTGAGCTTGAACCACCAACCTGGCAGTTCAAACAGCTTTTCAGTCTGGTGCATTAACCCACAGCGTCACACCAATGTTCATGTTTAAATGGTTATTGTGTTATGTAAATAACTACCATCTATTTTCATAATACAACAATTAATAAATGGAGTTTCTGTGGTCAGTTTTGGATCTACCCACTTACTTCATCAATACTTATGTATTATTTGAATATTTTCATAGCAAGAAACATGTATATGTTTTCATAATACACCGAAAGCACTAGTTCCTTTCAGAGATATTATTAGTTTACATCCCTGCTTTTTAATAATAATTTAACAACAAAAATAACTTGATGCCTATTTTGCATATTTCCTATAGCATGTAATTACAATTTTTTGTACAAGTATGATAAGACAAGCATTTGGCTAGATATTTGATTTAAATGCATATAGTCCACAAAGAGAATTTACCTATAATCTCGTAAGGCCAATTCTTCCATACCCTTTTTCTAACAATCCCCACTGATTTCTACTCGTCAGAGGTTTCTCTATGGTCTACTACTGGATGTCCAACTTTCATTACTACCATTGAACAGGTGGATCAACATAGAAAGAGTAGCTGATGAGTTGTTTACTAATATTCATCATATTGTCTCCCTAGTAACGATAGTTTCTAAACTTTGAAATCCTATGAACAAAACGTTCAACACCACAATTTTACTATAGCACAGAAATAATTTTCCTTAAGAGTTAGTTGTAAATAGTTTGTTTCAAAGACCAGATGTTAAAATCCTACATAGTCCATAGACAACTGTAAGTTTTAATAAGAATACTTATATGCTATTAAAGAAAAAGAATAAAAAACACCAGCCTTGCTAGTCAGAAAGAGAACAAAGGAACCCGAGACTGTAGGCCTTGACCACCTTCAGTTCTGGAAAAAAGCTCACTCTTTTGGCCCAATTTTTAGTCAAGCAGTAGAGAGGTATATAGAAGGATAACAAGGTCAGCAGTTCGAAACTACCAGCTGTTCCGTGGGAGAAAGATGAGGCTTTCTGCTCCCATAAAGATTTACAGCCTCAGAAACCCTATACAGGGTTGCTATGGGTTGGCTCCGATTCCACCGCACATAACCAACAAACAACAACACTAAGCAAGGTGTGCTCATCAAGGAAGAATGGTCAATCATTTAAAATCAAAAGGTCAACATTTACCTAAGGATAAACTTGAGAAGGGATGGGAAGATGGATGGAATGCAAACAGGAATCACAGGGAGGAAGCGGGATAACTGTTGATGCAGGGAGGGGACTGCAATTATTTAGATGAAAAAAAAAGGATGTGTTGAATGTAAAACTAATGAATCTTGTCTGTAAACCTTCACTCAATTCACAATAAAAAATTAAAACAAAACAACTTTTATGAAGTACCATTTAAGTAAACTAGATTTTAACTTAAATTTCTAACTAACCCACAAAAAACATTTCGGTGGAGATATTTCAAAAGTATTATGTATGTTCTCTGGTTTGTTCAAACATCTTTATCACTATCATATTAAAAAATGAACAAACAGAAACAATGAATCACTATATTATATCAATATATGGTCTCTGAGAATTTTGAAAATGTTTAGCAATCCATACTCATACTCTTATGTCCAGCATCTTAAAAAAATTAATTTCTCCATGTTTCCCTTCACTCCCTATCACCTTCTGATATTTGTATTATGCCTATAATGACAGCCCCCAGTCTATAAAATTTCTACTTTAAAGTGAACTAGGAAATAAATTAGAACCTAGTCATAATACTGTGAACATATTTGGGAAATGTGGGGTTAAAGGGTAGCAAAAGTATTTACTTTAGAGGGAGGGGTGCGTTCACTACAAAGATGAGGGGTTTTCCTAGGAAATAAAATATAAAAATCATGATATATAGTAAACTCTGTTACATAAATGTCCCTTCAGAGGGTCTCTAAATATGACTGGTATTGTTTATAATAAAAACTGGCAAATAAGGAAATTCTGGAGAGGTGAGATATTATTATACTGTTGTTGTTGTTGTCAGGTGCCATCGAGTCG